ATAATGATGTTATGGTTGTTTATTTATCACGTTATCAAACATAATTTCGAATTTTGGAGTCAGGCAACATAAATAATTGATTACTATACTGTTTTTATAAATTACTTATAACAATAACAGAATGGAATTTAAGATTATTTGTGCAAATTTTGTCCTTATTGCTCTTTTTAAACCGGGAAACAAATTTTAGGTTAATTGAAAATTTGAAAAATATAAAGTCACTTACCAACGCTAAACACTGGTGGTAGAACTCTGTAAGAAGGAGTACGATGTGTTCCTCTGGATGGGTGCTTCAGGTTATTACATGAGCCATCTACACGCTTCCATTCAGTCGCATTACATGGCTTGATCTCTATCGTACAGTTCCTTAAAAACGTATTATCAACTATGTTAATAATATTATTCGACTTATATATGACGACTATTCTTACGAATAACTATCGGAAATATATAATTAAGGATGGGATGTTTGACATATGTCGGGCATGTCATAGTCCTGGTGAATCCATTAGACATATTATTTCTGGTTGTGGTCGTTTAGCTAACAGTGAATATTTGCATAGGCATAATTAAGTAGCCAAGATTATCCATCAGCAACTTGCTTTGCACTATCGACTTGTCGAGTCTGAGGTACCGTACTACAAGTATGTACCCGACCCAGTTCTGGAAAATAACCATATCACATTGTACTGGGACCGATCTATCATTACTGACAGGACTATTGTAGCCAATAAACCTGACATGGTGGTGATAGACCGACAAGTGCGTCGCACGATGATAATCGATGTCACCATTCCCAATGACGAGAACCTCGTGAAAACTGAGAAAGATAAACTAATAAAATATCTAGACTTAGCTCACGAGGTTGTCGACATGTGGAGTGTGGACTCGGCCATTATTGTGCCTATAGTCGTGTCGGCCAATGGGTTAATCTCTAAAAGCCTCGACTTCCATCTCAGGAAGCTGGCGTTAGGTGGATGGATCAAGGGCTTGATACAGAAGGCAGTACTCCTAGAAATACGTTCCGGTATCGTGAGGAGGATTATCTCTGGAGCCCTAACCACCGGTAGCTTGGACCATGCTTCCACTACTGGTCGTCTCCTATTTTCATATCTTTAAATATTATTTTTCTGTTTTTTGAGTAGATTTTATTTATTAATTTATTGCACAATGTATATACACACATAGAGGTATCATACCACTTTTACAAATGTGATAACAGGGTGATATACTGTAATATCACCCTGTTATCACATTTGTAAAAATACCCTATTATTTATTAGATTTTTGACTATTTTTTGGTTACTCACCCAACATTGTTCCTCTGTTCATAGATCGCTAACAACGTTCTATTGACAGGTACCCCAGTGAAACAGTCGTAAAGTACCGCATTGGATAAACCCACACATATACATGTGAATAGAAGTAGAATTTTTAACATTTTCATCAATTTGTTGCATAAGAAATATTATAATTAAATGTGATTCTAAAATATAAATTACAATTATGTGAACACAATAAAACAAAATGTATTACAACTCTAGAAATGTAAAGAGAACTGACATTTTTTGCATTTATTTATATATTGCACATTCGACCACGATACAAGTCGTTGACTTTTTAATTACCTTCTCATAAAATAAACATTTAATTATTTATCTCACATCGTGTTAATTATTTCCATTATGCTACTATTATTCAGTATTGTTCCACAAACGTACAAAACGCTAATACGCTATCAGTTATCAGAATAATTAAGCTATGTCTGTCATTGCAAAATAGTCCTCAAATAAAAAAATGTTAGTCACTTGGTATTCCATACATATACGTATTACAATTAGAATTAAAGGAGACTGGGACTTGTGGGCCCAATTGTAATAAGTTGAATTATGGCTTAAAAAATAGGTATTTTTTTTCTATTTCATACTGTAAAAAATCAATTTAATTTACAATCTGGGAAATGAAAAATCCAATAATTATGTTAGGGTTCGAATTATCGATTCAATTGTAATCGATTAACGTTACAGAGTTCATACTATTTACGAAAATGCTTTCACCGGTTGATTTATTTAATTAAAATAATAAAATCTATTAGAATTAGAGTATTAAGAGTTAAAACTAATTAGTTATCTACATAATTAATATTAGACAATTCACATTTACTAATCAATTATTGTATTTTTAATCTGTGCTAACTCGACATTCGTTTCGTATCGTCTGTGTGTGTGCGTTCTGAGTGTCATTTGTTTTCTTCCCGTTTTGTTTTTGTTTTTATTGATAATTATTATTCCTCGACCCGGCTTTCCTACGGACCTGTGATCTTCCTCCTTCTACGACCCTTGCCTTGCTACCATACTGGACATCGAGAACCCCGCTTAAACGTTGAACTTGGACTTGTTATTTTGGATTCTACGAACGGCCTACCAATAGGATATTGATCGACATCATGGATCGTTGTATAAATTGTTATATAGCGACTAGTCGCTGCAATACACTAACAACAATCGCACTTTAAAAATGGGTTATTACCGTGTATATATTGTTATAACCTCACTTTTCTTAAATCTCTTATACCTCGGCTCTCAGATTGCCAAAATCTGCAAAATTTTCAGTGATTGTTTGCTTATATAGTAGCTATCAATTGACACTAATTTCATCTTTTTACATCTAGGCCCAAAATTGTATGAAAGGGTATCCGTCTCCTTTCTGCAGTATTTATCTGAAAAATGGCAGCAATGACTGTTGCAACCGAGGGCTGGGCTCGCTGCCATTGCAGCGGTAAGTCCCCTCTTTGAGAAGTGGCTTGAGAGACGCTACGGCGTCTTCACCTACCGCTTGACGCAGGTCCTCACCTTCGGGAGATACCTGTGTCTGATAAGGCAGGAGGAAACTTCTCCCGCCTCACCTAGGCGGGAGATGGTATATGTCGCGCGGTTGCCCTAGTGAAAGACTATGTCGACCCGGTCTAGTACAGGAATTTGGGCTGAAAATTAACAAGGTGGGTTAGATCCGAAGATAACGATTATAGCCAATGGCAGAAGTATGAATAGCTTAAATTGGATTAAGAAAAAAAAAGTAAAATAAATTTTATATGAAGTTTTATCGTAAGTAAGTTCATTAAAATTCTAATTAAACGTTAAGTAATGCAATTGAAACTTAAATCAGTAATAAATGTGCCAAAATAACAGTTCTTTTTTTATGTAGGTGTATTACATAATTTCTATAAAAATAAACTACCTCACTAACTAATAAGTTAACACTACCGACGTTGTCTACTCGCATGACTCATCCTCCCATGCAGTCAGGTTTAACTTTCCTATTTTCGATGAACTGCACTTTGTCAAAGGATTAGTGAAAAAGAAAATTTCATTATTATAAAAACTTGAAACTTGATGCTATGTGTCGTGGTGGCCCGGAGGTTTAAGACGCCCGCTTCTCACGCATGAGGGTGCAGGTTCGAAACCTACCAACGGCAAGTACCAATGTGACTTTTTCCGAGATATATGTACTTTCTAAGATTATTTAGACACCACTGACAAACGGTGAAGGAATAACATCGTGAGGAAACCTGGACTTATAATTTCTAATTATAAGTTTGAAATCGCCAACTCGCATTGAACAAGCGTGCTCAAACCTTCTCTGTGTGAGAAGAGCCTTTGCTCAGCAGTGGGCATTTATAGGTTGTTGATGATGATGATGCTAAGTAACATAAGGCAAACCATTATACAAGTCAAGTTGATACTATAAAGGTACTGAGTTATTAATGACTGCACGGTTAGCGCGGTAGTTGGGAAACTGACTACCGCGCAACGTGTCACAGGTTCGATTCCCGCACGGAACAACTCTTTGTGTAGTTCACAGATAGTTATTCCGGGTCTGGGTGTCATGTGTATGTAAACTTGTATGTTTGTAACCGCACCCACGACACAGGAGCAAATTCTAATGTAGGACAACGTTATAAAAAAAAATATACTTACTCAGTAGATATGAGCACGAAATGCATGAGGTTGTATTTCTGAAACGAGGTCACCAATAGAGCACAACACGCCCGCTATTGTAACTTTCCGGACAGCCTTTAATTGCTCTGGAAAAAGTATATGTATTTTATACCTTCTAATGTTTGCTGATTTCGAAAATACAAATCCGAAGTAAAAAGCAATGACAATAAACATATTTAATGAGCAATTTGCTTGTTTGAAATTAATCAAGTAGTGATGGATTCCTGTGGAATACTTGTGGAATCCCGTTTCCCATTGTCACGCTATAACTTGAGAACGGCTAGACCGATTTGTCTGATATTTTTTTGTTATTGTCAAGAGAAGGTTCTTACGACAGAAAAAATCCTAAAAATCCTACGGGAACGGGAGAAAACGGGACTGCGCGTACGAAGTCGCGGGCAGAAGCTAGTTTATAGATAATTTATTTTATTTTTGTACAGTATGAGTGTCTTTCTGATGTGGATATGGAAATGATAACAAATAACTGTGCATAACTTTATTGAAGAAAAATAACCCTTTATTTTTTTGTTTTTCATCATTAAATATTGAGTTACCTGCTTTTGGCTTTAAGTACCATAAAACCCATAAAATACCTAAATTTAGTAAATTTTTTTTTCATATAAACCTATTCATATTAGCTATTATATATATTCATAAACCTATTCATATTCTAAGCAGAAAATACAATAACATTAATTAATTTATTCATAGGTAAACAATTTTAAAAATAAAATTAAACATTTATTTGCAACGGTTTTATTTATGACAATATAAAAACGTGTATATATGAATAGGCAGAGGATTTCTTAATATTTTAGTGAATAATGAATCAAGCTTTATTATATTTTATTATGTTTCGCAAGCAATTTAAAAATAAAAATTCTGAATGTTTAAGAATAATATTCTGTTACGTTATAACAAAGCTAGAATCTTTTATTGTTCATTTCATCTTGTTGAAAATGTTAATGTAAAGAGTTACATTCAATCGTGTTGCAAATGGTTCTATGATGATGTAGTGCAAGTATCGTCCGCCCAGTAGGAGTAGTCTAAGTTGGGAATTTCATCACAACTGACGATCACATTACTGTAAAAAAAGTTGACAAAATTAGCAAAAATTGAAACGAAACTTATGCTATAACTTTCCATCAAGATTACAGAAAGAAATATAAATATTATTAATATAACTTTCTCTTAATTCCAAGTTATTTCTGTTCAGAATAATTATTTATCAATAAGAATCAGGTGAAAAAATACATACTCAGTTGTGGGTAACTCGTATGCCCTAGGTTGGATCTCAGTGACACCAGGCCCGATATCACACAGCATACGCGCCAAACTCACTTTACGGATTTGCGCCAATTGATCTAAACAAAAATAATACAAGGTCACAACATTTTTGTAACAAAATGGCCATCAATTGCAAAAATATATGACGACAGTAATAGTGAATAGCATAAAGCGTAAACATGATGATGTTTACGGAAAGACAGAACAGAAAAAAATTGTTCTGTATAATATGAATCATTTATTTTTTAATCTAAACCAGAAGGACACATAAAAGAAAATAAATATTAAGTGCTCACCAGCAGTGAAAGCATTTGGTCTCGACTCTCTTTCATACCAATGTCTGTCTGACACCATCGACCTCTCCAGTTGTTCTTTCACGAGGCAGTAGAAGGTGGGAGGTACGTGGGAGTTCTCCTTCTTCTTCTCCACCCATATACCGGCCAGCAAATCGATGTCAGTCACGTCTTTGTACAATAGTTGTAACTGTGTTATCCTCTGCAATAAAAAATGTTAATTTATTTTATAGCCAGCCAGTACTGGTTTACCAATATCGGTATTTACAGGCTCATCTAGAACAATATTCATATTGACCTCAGTACTTCTATAATTATTCTCTTATGACTACTGATTTATTGTAGTGCATCACGAATAAATGCTAATTGTATTTAAATTACTGTTTTCAAATATAAAATTACACCTCACCTCAACATCAATGATGTCAGTTAGGTCATCGAAGCTGGTGATAGAATCACCGAAGCAGTGGTTCCTATACTCAGTGTATCCTTTGAAACCAAAGTAACGGTTCTTGGCCAAGTCATTAGTCATGATGTCATTAGACCTCTGCAGACGACCGAGACCTCGTTGAACAATCTGAAATTATATTTATAGTAAAATAATTGAATTTTTAACTCACTATTCAAATTAAAAATTGAGTGTAGTTTGCCATGCAGGCCTTTTAACGTGGTTAGAACAAACCATAATTAGTTTACGTCATAATAATAATAATTTTATAGTACCTAACAAATTAGTATCATAGAATGAACAATTTTCACGAGGATTATTTTGGCTATGGAAAACTATAAATGAATGAAACAGTCTTTACATCAGGGTCCGCGACGTAGTCATCAGAATTGGCTGTGGGCTGTCTGAAGAACCCTTGAGTCACGTAGTCCATTGTGTCGTTCACCTTCAGGAAATCAGTGTTTGAGGTCAGATCCACAATGGGGAAGGTGGATTTGTATGTTCCGTTAGTGTAGTACATTCTGGAAAAAAATACATTACAGTACAGTATGATAAAATGTAAATACATCACCCAATTTCGATAAAAGTGTTATTCTTATTTAAAATTGGTAATTGTCCAACCGGAAAAATCGACTCCTTTCTTGGTTTACTAATAATAACTTAAGTAATTTATTCACCTCAAGTCACCGTCTTGCAGAGAGTGCATCCATCTCAACACTACTGGGTACTCCAAAGCAATTTGTGGCAGTTTGGTATCGTCATATAGATCCCTAAAGCCTTCATCTTCAGATAAAATACCGTCAGCGATCAAGTTGTCCTTACCTATATAATAATAAATAGTAAAATATAATTCAAACATAAAGTATATCATCAAAAGAAAAATAACCAGAACAGAAAAAATATTTGTGTTTATCAAAAAAGGTAAAAATAAAGATATTATACTCACCCATCAAAGTAGCCATAAGTTCATAGTAGAACATTTGAACACCATAAGCGATGTTAATTTCCCTAGCAGCGTCAAAGAGCTGGTCATCAGTCCAGCAGGGGTTGACAGCGGCAAGCTGGTCAGCGATGAAGTTATGGTTATTCCAGAAGAGAATAATACCCACAAAGTTGATTCCAAGAAGAAGATTAAGGGTTGCTGCAATAAAATATTTACTCGTTAATGTTTATTTAAAATTTGGTGGACCATGCATTAATTATTTTTTTTATAAAATTCCTTGAATATATAACGATAATGAACCACAAATAATATTATTTTAAAACTTAATTCAGTGTGGACAAGATTATAAAGAACAAGGAGGCTAAGCAGTAAGGGAAAAAATTAAAAAAGAAGTTAAAGAACATCATTCAGATGACGTGTCAGTCTATGGACTAAAAGAATTAGACGTGCAGCTACTTACATGTGTCTGGGAAATTAATTCTGTTATTGACTGTGACGGTAACGAGCTTTCCACCGGAGTTTGTGCGTCTTGCCTTCTCAATAGTGTTACCATAAATAGGAGACAGGTCTACCAGGGGAGTAGCGTCTACAATCTGTAAAGTAATAATATCTTAGAACTTGTAACTGATGATATCGCATTCGAGTAATTTTAGAACTCTGGTATTTAATTCAAAGAAATTACGAATTATTAATAAAATTTGACGCAATAAATCTTACTCTCAATGGTGTGGTAGTGTTAGGAGCACATCCAGAAGTCTGGAAGGTCAGAGGTCTGGTCATGTTCAAGCATCGGATTCCAGAAAAGCGGTGCACGAAGTCATCTTTGGGCACGTGGTTGGGAGTGCAAGCGTAGTCTGTTTTACCTGCACTCTTGCAGCAGTATGGTCTCCAGGATACGTAGTTTGCTAGACAAAGGAAAATTAAAATAGAAAACGATTTTTATATTGATTTTTAAAAGTCCTACAAATTCTTCCTTCTAACCAGCCTTCAAAGGCGGCCTTCGTTCAACATTAAACGTCTTAAAAATAAAATAAAATAAAATAAAATAAAATAAAAAAACCTTTTATTTCATGCAATTTTTTTCAGGTTACATGTGTAGTTTTAAGAAAGAAAGAAATAATAGTAAAGACATTAATTACACTTGTTTCCAATTAATTTAGAAATAGTTTAAATGTATAACTAGGTTTGTTTTGCATGAACCCCTCCTCAAGTGAAGGTGAAGGCCTCCTCTAAAGAACTCCATGAGTCTCTATCTTGAGCTATTTGCGGCCAGCAGGTACCAGCTATTTTTATTAGCTCGTCTGCCCATCTCGTGAGCGGTCTGCCTTTGGGACGTTTGCCGATTGGACCTTTCCACGTTGTTACCCTGCTAGTCCATCTCTCGTCCTTTAACCTCGCTACGTGCCCAGCCCACTTCCATTTCAATTTCTTAGCGTAGGTTAGAGCATCAGTCGCTTTTGTGGTTTCTCTAATTTTTGTGTGACGTATTTTTTGCATCTTTTTAATATTCAGCATACTTCGCTCTATTCCTCGTTGGCAGGTAGTGATTTTGCTTTTTAATTTAGATGTATATTTCCAAGTTTGACAAGCGTATGTTAGACAAGGTAGGAGGCATGACGTCATGACTTTTGTTTTAACATTTATTGGCATGTTGCTTTTGAATATCTCTTTTAAGGACCAGTACTTGTTCCAAGTGTTTTGCACTCTTCTTTCTGCTTCTAGTTCGTTTTGTTTTCTGCTGAAGCCCATTTGTTTTCCGAGGTAGATGTAATTTTCTGTATAATTCAGAGTTTCGTTTTCCACTGATATTCTTTCTGTATACTATTTGTCATGACCATGGTTTTCGAGAGATTCATTTCTAGTCCTACTTGTTTACTGGCTGTGTTCAGTGAGTCAATCATGCTTTGTAATTGTGTGCTAGATTCTGACATCAGAACCAAGTCATCTGCGAAGCGTAGGTGGGATAAATACTTGCCATTGATGTTTAGTCCTGTCTTTTCCCAGTTGAATCTTCTTATTATTGACTCTAAGATAGATATAAATAGTTTTGGAGACAGGGGGTCGCCTTGCTTTACGCCTCTTTCGATGGAAAACGTAGGGCCAGTGGATTCCAGCTTTATTTTTGCTGTACTACCTTTGTAAATGTTTCTGATTATATCTATATATTCTTGTTCAACTTTTTGAGCTTGCAGAGCGGTCCAGATACTTGGATGTGACACAGTATCGAAAGCTTTTTTATAATCGACATATGCGATGTAGAGTGTTCTTTGCTTCTCTTGATATTTTTCTATTATTTGTTCGAGAGTATGTATATGATCTATTGTTGAAAAGCGCTTGCGGAAGCCTGCTTGTTCGACTGGTTGCTGTGCTTCTATTGTGACACTTATTCTTTTGTTAATTATACAGGAAAACAGTTTATAAATACATGAGACTAAGCTAATAGGCCTGTAGTTTGTGATATCTTTTGAGTCCCCTTTTTTGTAAATTAAGATAATTTCCGACTCCGTCCACTGCGACGGTATTTCGGCAGTTTTTAATACAAGGTTAAATAAATATGTTAGTGGGGGAGTCAGTAGCGGCCAGGCAACCTTTATGGCTTCATTTGTAATGCCGTCTGGTCCAGGGCTTTTGTCGAGCTTTAGCCTTTTTATTTCTTGCGTGACTTCTCTTTCAGTTATTGGTGTTATGTTTCCGCTCTTATTTGTAGAGTAAGTGTCATTTGCATTTCTATAGCTAGTTTGCTCGTTTCCTTGGGCTTTATATAGGGTTTTATAGAAGTGGGTTGCTACATCTATAATTTCTTTGCGATTATTTACAATTTTGTCTTTACTGTTTAAGCCTTCTATCCAATATTTATTTGTTCTTAATTCTTTAAGGGCCTTTTTTGAGCTTCCTGCTTTTTCCAAGTGGTTTTCTATAGTTTTCGATCTGTAGTTTTTGTAATCATGTTTGATGTATTTACTTATTAGTTTGTATAGAGCTGATAGTTCGTTTCTTGTGGCTCGAGTTTTTATCTTAGCATGTTGTAACTCTTGTCTTCTCTTGATAAGTGCTAGAGTACGCTCTTTTAGAACTTTATGTTTACTTTTTGGTACTTCGTTGGATGTTCGAGCGTCCTGTAAACTCTGGGTTATAGCCTTAGTTAATGTGTCGTAGAAATACTGTACTGGTGTATTTTCTTGGCATTTATTTATATCCTGTAACTGAGATGCTATGTTTTGTTTGTAAGATCTCATTTCTTCTTCCGTTTTCAGTGATGAAAGTCGGTTACTTCTGTACGTTGTGCGTTTTTTCTTTTGCTTTGTGAGAGACATTGTTGCTCTGATTGCCCTGTGGTCTGACGGGTAGTTCAGATTTAAGACTTCTATGTTTTGAAGGATATTTGGTTGATTTGACAAAATGTAATCTATTTCATTTTTGTATTTACCATTTGGTGATCGCCAGGTCCATCTTTGGTTTGGTTTTTTGTGAAAGAAAGTATTTAAGATGGCAAGGTTGTGTTCAAGGGCAAAATCAATTAGCCTCTGACCTCTCTGGTTTCTTTCCCCATACCCGTTTGGTTTCATTATTAGGTGTTCTTCTTTTCGCGGTTGTCCTATTTTCGCGTTAAAATCGCCCATTATTATATACTTTTTATGAGCTTGGTCTAGGGCTCTATTAATATTCGAGTAGAAGGTGTTAATCTCTTCTTCACTCGCAGTTTCAGTCGGTGCGTATATTTGTATAATCGACATGGACATTCCTTGTATGTTTAAGTTTAATAATTAAACGTCTTATGTGACTGATAATTACAATGGTAAGACCGGCACAGTCAGCAAATGATGGCAAAATTATTTAAAGAACTGTTCGTACTTGTGTCACGAGTGTTGGTGATATCAGTTGCGAAGAAGACTGCCAAATGGTTGATAACACTGGTGAGGACCTCATCGTCCACTCGTCCTTCAGCCCAGATTGAAGTTCTAATTTTCCTTGTCAGGTTTAGTTCAGTTCCTGACGATGATAGCCTGGGCTCGAATTCTGTGAAGGGTAAAACATATTTTCGACATGAATGACATATTTTTGTAAATAGAATACTGTATTATATTAATGGAATTATATCTATCGTCTAGATAGTAAAGAGTCCTAAAGATTTTCATTTTCATTGTGATTTTATGTGAAAGACATTCATTAATTGTAATTACATGTCATTAATTATACAATCATTACCTGAACTCGATTTCTTGTGGTAAGAAGCATCGAGGATTCTATAATAAGGAGTGCGAGTAGCACCGTAAGATGGGTAGTTCAGATTGTTGCATGTCCCATCAATACGTCTAGGTTCAGTTTCATCACAGGCCTCTACTGCGACTGTACAGTTTCTGCAAGTATAGTAAACAATATTGATTGGATTATTTGCAACCAATTTAGCACTTTTTAAGTCTCTCAACAATAAAATAAAACTAGCAAACACATGATGAACCAAAGCCAAAAACAAGGAAAGTGACTTACGCAACGGTGCCATTGGATGTGTATGCGGCTACTTGAGTAGAAGTTAAAGGTAATCCATAGTACGAACTATAGTATGTTGAATCCCCCAAAACGGAATAAATAAATATAAACTGAATTAAAACTGCTAACTTCTCCATCTTGGCAGGAGATGAGGATTAACGCTCAATCCAAAGTTTGGGCCTTTATATTCGGTAGTATTCGTTGAATAATTTAAGAAAATATTCTATTTTATGGTTCTGTACCATTTTTTTTTTTGAAAATAATTTTATATTAATAAATATGTAATTCGTTAAAAGTTCCATGTTTACAGTGAGTTATAAATAAATACAAGCACAACTGCTACTTACGATGCGTTTCAGAGAGATTAATTTTTAGAGTTAATTATTAATTTTGGACCTCTTTAGTGATATGTATTATCAACTTACGTCCATTGTTGATGATTGGGAGGTTAGTGAAGACATTTTCTAAGCAGATAATGGGGCTAACGTTTCCTTCCTCACCAGATGGTGCAAATGTAGGGAGGTGTTTTTTCCAAATATTGAATGACCAATGATGTGACACTAGCTGATTCCCTATTAGATGAAGAAGCAGAGGGGCACACTAGCGCCATCTGCAGAGCAAAAATACGGTAGCCCCCTTGAGTCTAAACTGCAGTTAGGGAAATCAGTACTCATATCAAAATGTGAGTGTGAATTCTTTTCCGAACCCAAATTAAAGTATTTTATTTACTTTGTTACAAAATGAAGATCTTATTGTACGGACTGTGTACATACAATTTTACTTTTAAATTTTAATTTTTCTTGACACAAGTGTTCCGCAATTGGACCATCAATTACATACCAATGTTGATTTTCTGTATTTTTATCATTTACTTTTTATTTTCCTCAGAGAAAAACTGTCTTATACACGTTTTTGCAATTCTTGAGTCACACTGTATGTACATACTACATACATATGGACGTATACATGACGCTCTTATGTAAGAACATATTGCACGTGTAAAATGAGTTCGAGCCCATCCTTAAACAGTTAAACTCTAATATCTTCTGGGCAGGGACGGAAAGGTTAATCCCTATAAGGGTTCCAATTTAGTTCCAGAAGTACTGGGTGTCTTCAAATCCTCAGTCACTAGGTTGCTTTTAGACAGATAATTAAAATCTTTCAGTGATCTTGGTTAAGAGTGGTGCTCCATTGTTGATCAAGATTTTAATTGAACTACCAACAAACGTTTTCGCATGCTAAGCGAACAAAAAGCCACTTATGGCTTAAAAATTCAGCATGGTCTGATACTTAAAGCAATTGCTATGAAATTATATCAATCTTATTGTAACAGATTTCAAATAATTTCAACATTATACATAAATCCCATCACATTTTCTACATGTAAAGGAATTTGGAACACATGTGCGATTATTTAATTATGAATTATTAATAAGTTAAACGATTCGTCATACATAGAGTCACGTTAAAAATGGAAGTATTCACCTTCGAATTTTGCAGACCACAGACGCAAATATTATTTTACCATTGACGCACAATGCATTATGTGTATGAATGGGACGAGCCCCTATTGTGGAAGAGTAAGTAGACATTTTTATATGTGATAGGGGTAAAAAGCGGATGGACCAGCTGTTGGTAAGCAATCAAGCGTCATTAACACCCAGAGTACTAGAAGAGTTAAAAATGCGTTATCGACCTTTTAAGGCAACTGGAGAACGCCGTGGAGAACTTAACGGTTTATCCGTCGGGGCTCCGGCTCGAAGTGCAGGAGTAGGAAAGGGGTGGTTTTTAGTCAGTAAGAGTCTGACACTCCCACCCGCATCACCCAGGCGGAAGAAGTCATTAGATGATTTTCCCCCCTTAGAAAAGGGAGATATCATTCACTAAAACACAGCAGGCGTTGTAATACGTTCCGCTTTCTTAGATCTTAAAAATATTGACTATGCAATCATTGATACAGATCAAAATTTAAAAAAAATATTCAAGTATTTAATTTGAATCAATATGTTCTAAGAAATCGTGGTGGTCATCAAAATTAGTCCTATTAATATTTAAAGTGAACAAATGATATCCTTGTACCTATTTAAATTTTTTATGATTGTGAAGCAGACATTATTTTACATCCACCTGAAAAAACAATGGTAACGAAAATATTTCACACCTCTTTTTAGCAGTAGGTACATAATGAGGCTCTGCTGTTTTGTTCAAAATTAAGTATATTTAATTTGGACAAAGAATGAGTGTGCAAACGACATGATCGAAGAAAATGTCATCATAATAGGTCAAATAGAAGGGCGTGTCACTGTGACTCTATCTAACTCATGAGAGTGGCTGGAGAAATTTTCGTGAACTTTACTTTTGTGGGTGGCGACGAATTTACAAATAATTATGTCTGGAACTAACACTTAGGAAAAGAAAACATTGGATAAGAACAACAATATAACTTTACGCCTATTACCCCCAAAGGGGTAGGCAGAGATGCACATTACGGTACTTATTGCCACTATACAATGTAACACCCACTTTTCACTATTTTATGTTACGAGTCCCATGTAATAGGGGTGAACCTATTATCATATACTGGACACATTTCCAGACTCCGTACTACTATTGATGATTTTTTTAAAACCCAGTAATACTTGCCCGACCCGGGAATCGAACCCGAGACCCCTTTTTTTTTAAGGGGGGAAAATCATCGAATGACTGCTCCCGCCTGGGTGAGGCGGAAGGGAGTGCCAGACTCTTACTGACTAAAAACTACCCCTTTCCTACTCCTGCAATTCGAGCCGGAGCCCCGATAACCCGTTAAGTTCTCCACGGCGTTCTCCAGTTGCCTTAAAAGGTCGATAACGCATTTTTCAACCCTTGACCGGCAGTCGCACTTGCGGCCACTCTGCCAAAGAGGCATTGGAAAGTAGTATATACCGAGTAACTGATATTTTATAACAATAAAAGCTATTTGTTTGTGTATATATAGACATAAATACTAAAGCATTGCGTCTCCCCTTAATATACAAAAATCCATTGCAGCACTTAGTTTGAACATGAAAACATAATCAACGGCTTAGAAGTCGGCTTATATCACATAATCTGGGAAACCGGAGACTATTGTTTACGAGGAGGACGGAGGAAAAATAAACAAAACGTTATTCAATCTTCCCTCGTACTGTAAGCAATCACTTGATGCTATGGAAGACGACGGACATGTGGGCCATGGATACAGCGAGACAGCGTTTAAATTTAAACTATAGGATATAGGGTAATAAAGGTAATATTCCATAATTGGGGTAAAGGGAGCATCCGATCAGACTAAGGAGGACTAATGGAGATTCTTGCTCGTTCTTCTCCATTCGAATCTACATTTTGGAATGAGCACCTAGCTTCACCTAGTTTCACTGACGGACGGACTGACTGACAGACTATTATTTATTTTGTATTTGTTGACGTTTCAAAAGTATCAAACTATGCTTTAATTGAAATAAATGCTTTGACTTTGACTTTGACTTAAGTGATTATACCATTTGTTTTGAGGGGGAGAAATCGTCCAATGTCTTCTCCCGCTCGGGTGAAGCGAGAGGGAGTGTCAGGCTCATACTGACTCAAACCATCCTGTTCCTGCTCCTGCACTTTGAGCTGGAGTCCCGGCAACTCGTTAAGTCCTTTGCGGCTCGGTATCGGCACCTGCCCGATTGGTTCCCATCTAAGGTAATTATGCCTAATCAGCTATAATAAATCAATTGTTCGTGGAATGGAAATTTGTATCAGTCTTAATTCACGTGTAACCTGTGCTTGCGCAATGTATAATTTCCTGTCACTATCAGAATTGTGTTAAGCGTTGTCGTTGCATTATTTTGAAACTTGCCTTCAGCACGAATTAGTATTGTAGTCATCATGACAATTACCTTTTTGTTAAAATTTTGCAAGATAAAATCAAAAAGCGTTAAAAAACTCGCTTATTTCATGGCCTCAGTCTCCCTAGCACTCTGCCACATGACGTGACAGGCGACCGCGACTGACATATCCGAAATCGCTGCGACATTCTTCCTAAACGTCTTCTCAAACAATGCAACGAGGGTCCACTGATATACCATAAATCATTTACTACCTCATCACACCTTATCCTCCAAAAAAGAAAGACTAAATTCCCTTGCTTTATAAGCGCAATCAAAGTGGTAAATTGACCAATTATGATTACAGATTTATAATACTTTATTGTAATACGCATAGGGATGATTTTTGCTTGTTGTAGTATAGTTATAACGTTGTGTTGAAAGCAGGGGTGTCACGCAGAGTATTTGAGAAAGTTTTAGATTTGCAATAAGGTGATGGATTCGATTTTAAATGTTTGTTGTTAGAGGAAATCTTGTTAGGGGATGTGGATTTTAGGCGTTTATCTACCTTTATGGGATATACCTATACATCTGTTATTCTGATAACGTAATAAAAAAGATCTCGAAAAAGTATACTGGATATAAACTACAAACTACTGGTTTAAAATAAATTTTATTCCTTTTTAAGAAAATCATTGTTTCTTCTCCACTGCACCATAGTTCTTGATAGATATCTTTAAAGCGACAACCTATTAAAGAGTTCTAAAACATCCATGCTCAGAATCATTACAAGAAAAAAATCTATAACATAAAATCCTACAACGCGATCTTAAAAAAACTTCCATAAAACTTATTTCAAGCATGTCAACCAAAACATTAGACATATGAAAATTTTCTACCCCATATCGGTTCACTAGAGCACAAATACTGAAAACACACATACTTGCAAATGGCGAGGGCATACGATTGCTCGCATCGCATATTGAATGCAGCGAAATGCATACAAATATCTTGTTTACTGTCCGCCCCTTGATAGATGGTCCCGCCAACTTTTTGTACACGTCCTCCAGTCGTCCAGCTATGAATTTCCTCTATCTTCATTCATGGCTACATGGGGATTTGGGGACAAAAATCTTATACCCATGTTTACCAAGCTCCTTAAATTTTAAGGAGCCCCTTGGTTAAGACAGATTACATAATTATAATGACATTTATGATATTTAACAATATGATTCTCTGGTGTTACGGTTGTCCATGGGCGGCGCTGATCATTTACCACTAGGAGATCGTTCTGCTCGTTTGTCTCA